AAAAAACTTCTTGCTTATCTTTGAGATTTACACAAGATGGAAGTGATTTATTGTGTTTTATCGTTCCTCCTAATGTGAAATACTGAACCTGATAGTATTTTTACTTCCTTTACATATGAGTATTAAAACAATGGGATCCCGGAACTTCGCCAATAAGGCTTTCGTCAAATAGGACTCTCGCCAATGGCGAAGGTCCACTGTACTTTCGCCAGTACAGCCCCTGGACTTTCGCCAATTGGTGGAAGTAAAGTGGGCTGTCGTCAATTTGACTGCGAACTAGATATAGATTCGAAAATTTCTGTCGGCTATATTGATGAGTGTAAGCTATGATAAACATTCTAACAACATTAGCTGCAGCTAGAGCCCGTTGGATCTATTGGGACCCGAATCCAACCGGTTGCGGGTCTGAAAGCTTTGTAATCACTGATTTCGTGTCCGGGTTCGGAAAATTTTACTGATCGGATCGAGATCCAAAGAAATATCTTATGTATATAATAATCTTTTTGGAATTTCTTTCAATTTTTCTCTTAAAAGATCCGTCAATCGGGTTCGGCTCCAGAAATTCTTGAATTCGACAGACTGTAGCTTCAACTCTTACATGTACCCTGTATTAATATTATTTCGTGACAGTTGGGAAAGTTTACTGTACTTTCGTCAATTGGCGAACGTCTTATTGGCGAACTTCCGATAACCGAAAACAATACTGATAAATAATTTTAACAAGAAAATGAAAGTCGTAATGATTCTCTTCGTTTCTTTTGTTACTAACTTCGGCAATGTCTACAGCCAAGGCACGGCAGATTATATTGTCGGTGCTGTAATCGGACTAGTGAAGGACTATAAAGTCTTAAATAAATGACACGATTATCAGTCTCAACAAATTTTTGGTACAACCTGTATGTCAACTAGCAAAGCAGGCTGTTATCGCTGGAACTGGCGTTCGCAAGCCTGATTTTGGTGTCCTAAACTATCTATTGTAGAAGGATATGGAAATAATTGGGAAAGTAAACAAGGTGCCATTGAGCATGCTATTAAGAATAATATGCATAAAGGTTTGCAAATAGCTTTTTAACGCAATATCAAATAAAGAATCCATCAGGACCACCTGAGCCTGACGAATGTCCACTGCTATCTAACACCTATACTGTACATATAGGGTTTTTTTCGTTTGACAGTGACTCGAAAGAATTCCACGATGGTGCAGAACGTGCAAAATCTAAATTTTATATTTGTTTACGGAATCCACCTGTTACAAAACCAGCTTATGCAAGCTTTATGCGCATCACAAAAGTAATGCATGTAGATAATCAATATCAAGCCCAACAAATCAAACAATGCGATCATGTGTCAGAATGTATTCGTGGAAAGTGGATTACATATTATTTTATAACAGCGAAATGAATAACTCTTTTATTTTTTCTTTTAACTTACAACACGTATATATTCAAGAAATAAACCGTTTTCTTTTATCAGTGAATTGGTTCACTCAACTAGCTCTTTAATAAAAACCAACTAAGTCCAGGTGATGTTTTCGAATGACCCGTTTCTTTGTCTAAGGAAATAAAATGCCACTGATACAAATGACAATGACTTTTTGGTTTATTTTTGTCATTGCATATGCCATGATAAGTAATGCTTGTCTAATAGTCTTTTATTGTCTTATATTATTTCGCTTGTACATATACTATACAAATGATGGATTAATACAGTTCCGTATCAGTTTTTAAGGGGTTTCATCCAGGAGAAACCACCATAGGATATAATATTCCAAAGTTAAAATTGTATGACGAAGAAGAGTATCCTAGAAGTGTTTTTCTCCAGACAAACTCGATCCATTCGACAGATGTTAGTGAGATGTTTCGACGCTAAAAAATATTTCGTTAGTGTGAGTGTAGATGTTGAGTGAGAGCACATCCACATCTGCACACCAGAGATGCCAACAGGCCACTTTTTCCGGCCTGGCCTGGCCTGGCCTGCTGCCTGGCCTGACCTAGCCTACAGGTCAGGCCAAAAATCAAAGAGTGGCCTGCGGCCTGACCTGGCCTGACCTGGCCTGACCTGCAGGCCAAACCAGGCCAATTGATGTTTCTGATTTTTCAAATCCATTAAATTCTATAACTCTGCATTAATGCATGATTCCAATTTCAATTATTTATTTAATTTATTTTCATGAAGATAATGAAATAACAAGTTTTTCCACAAAATAGCAAATTAAAGCAAAGAGACAATCATCTTAAATATTTTTCATACAAGAAAGACTTGAATTTACGAGATTTTTTGATGATATCAATACTTCTTCGCATAATCGAAAGATATTTAAGCATAATAACAAAAACAACATATGATTCGGGATACGACGAAGAATTAAAAGAAAATACAAATCCAAAAATAGACCAATATGAGCCAACAGGAGATGATTTATTATTATCAACAATATCGTATTGTTGTTTTTCATGTTTTAATAAATAACATATTCGTTCACTAGAATATGATAACGAATTTGACGAAGAAGATGATGAAACATTTGTATTTGACGAAGAAGAAAATGTTGAAACATTTGTATTTGATGATGTAGTAGTAGATCAAACAGGAGAGATTGATAAGATACGAATATCATCAATTGACATTGAAGAAATAGATGAAGTAGAAGATGTTGATAAACGATGAATATGTTCAGTTGACATTGTTTATTTAAGTTGTTGCCAATAAAAAAAAATGTAAAAAGAAATGTGTTTTGTCTTTCAATTAAACAAAATCATTGTTTGCTTTATTTTCGCTGAAATAAATCAAGCATAAATATTGTCTCCTCTCCTTTATTCATTCAATTCGTTTACTCTTGTGGTCTATACTATTCACCAATTATGAATGACGAAGTTAAAAGTGAACAAAATCATCAACTCGTGGTGTCATCTCATGTTTTAAGATGACTACTAGAGAAATGAATATCATTTTGCAGCCAGGCCACCCATTTTGGCCTGGCCTGGCCTGGTAACCAGGTCGGACATTAGATGGACGGATAACGCCAGGCCAAAATTTTAAAATTCAGCCTGGCCAGGTGGTCTGACCTGGCAGGCCACCCGGCGCCTGCCAGGCAGCAGGCCAGGCCGGCAGCTCTGCTGCACACACCCAACCCCACACTCATTCACATCCTAAATAAGAGTGGAATTCTAATTTTGATCAGACAAAATTAGCATTCCAACATTGACCTGACATTGCTTGGACAGAACTGAAATTCCAATTCTACTCAGGGAAAATTAGAATTTGACGAGAGATAAATTCATATAGTCATAACAATTAAAATATAAATAGAATAATTTTTTTTAATTTAACAATATCTCTTCATTTAACTAAACAATTCCCAAGACAACATTTGAATCTATTAAAACATATTTGTACAAACACTTCGTTTTGAATGGCATTTTATCGAACAAAACACTCCTTTTCTTTTTACACAAACATTACTTTGTAGTGCACTTCCCTTTATAATCGTAAGCACTGCCAGTTGTTGATGCGGGTACTTAAAGTTTACGACCTTTAATAAATGTAATATTCTTTAAGTCATCAATCATAAAATCATTCTATGCGAAAACTGAATTTCGAAGAAAAAAAGCCTAATGACTTTCCCTTGAGTAATAGTAAATTTTTATCAATATCATTAGAAATACTTTGTTTTATAACACTTTTTTTCTTGAAATTTTTCACTTAAAGAATTAATATGTTGTTCTAATTCTTTATAATAAATCAATCGAGCATTATCTATTTGGACTATCGTTGAGTATACTATTCAGACATTTTTTTTTAAATTAGATTATAGCGCATACATCTATATTTATACTGTTTATTGACACGACCGCTACTATTACAGTTTTCTCTCTTTTTCAAGTCCATTGTATTTCTAGTAGAGCTAGTGATTATATGAATTTATCTCTAGTAGAATTCTAATTTTGCCTATGGGAATTTAAAATTCCCCTGAATCTCAATTTTACCTACAATATACATATGAAAAAGAAACGGTCAATCGGTCACGTAGCATGAACGAAAGAATTCTGCACCTAATAAAAAAAATTGATAGGATGATAATTCAATATCATAATATATGATTATGTACAATGAGAATACGGAAAAGACGTTCATATGTGGAAAAAGAAATTTCACTGCCGTCCGACTGATACCACAATCATTCTTAGGTTTTTATCAATAACTCACTCATCAAAGAAAGAGCAACAAATCTTCAGTAGGAAAACAAAGGTTGATATAGTAGTGATACAAAGAATATTTTATCTATTAACCAATTTTCTTGTATATTTATTTAGAAACAAAAGAAACATGAAATTTGAGTCGTTACTCAACGAATTGTTGCTTGATATATTTCGATTTTTCAATAGTTTTCAACGTCTTCATGCTTTTCGTGATCTTAACATTCATTTTGATCCACTTCTTCTCTCATATTATCAAGCTTATCATCGCAATTTTCGATTTCTATCTAAATATGATTGTTCTCTTATGTGTCAAGATTATCTTCCTATGATAACAGTTACAATCATTTTCACTTTGTTACATTTATTCTTTCGATATATTAAATCAAATTGTATTCCAATGTCATGATCTACCAAATGTTATCCATCTAAAAATCATCAAATGTTTGGAACAACTATAAAGTGCACTAGTATCATCATCAAATTAGACGTTTGACTATCGAGAATTTTAAGAACACTTTAACAGATCTATCTGATCTATCTCAACATACATCTAATCTTCGACAACTTTCAATATCAATCGTATATAAATCAGAAAAGGAACAATTAACAATGATGATTTCATCGTTTATTTCATTAAATATCTCTTTCATTGGATCGAGAAATTCGATGATAAATCTCTTCGAAAATATACCTAATTTATCTTCTTTAAAGTTCGATACATGATCGATCTATTCGAATGGACATGAATGGGAAGAGACTATCTGAAAATATTTACCTAAAATTCAAAGATTGCGATTAAGAATGTATTTTCATTTTGCTTATGCCGATAATAGACAAAAGCAAGCGGAAGAATTACTTCAAACATTTCCAACTTCATTTTGGCTTGAAGAACACCAATGGTTTGTTCAATGTCAATGGAGTCCATCTTATAGTCAAAGCTTTCTTTACACTTTACCTTATGCTTTTAAGAGATTCCATTTCTATAGTGAATATCGTTTCATATCAACTTGTCCGAATGAAAAAGACTATTGGATATACAATCCTGTAAGTCTTCTTAAACACAATGATCCGAAAATCTCGACCAATCAAGAGTTAATTCTACCTCATTTACGGTTTCCAAATGTTCGTCATTTTGAAATCAGTTTTTGCGTTGAATGAGAACTTAGAATACATCTATTCGTCGATTATGTTTTAAAGTAGAATGTTGGTCTGAAATCGCTTTCTTCTCTAAGACACAATGTAACGCTTTCGAAAAATCCTTACTTGCTCGTCAATGTGAAATTCTTTTTATTGGTATAGAAAATTGAAGTGATATTTTTGATTTAATTAAATCGATGTCAAATCTTCAAGTATTAATTATTCGATGTAATGATGATGAATGAAAGGATATGAATCAGTCCTCAAAAAATGATGAATTAGTCGAATGGTTACAAAAACATTTACCATCGACATATTCTATTAGTCGAGATAGAGAAGAAACATTAAATATTCGACTATACCCATGGAGTAAAATATTGAAGGAAACGGACTGCGTAACGCGTTTCCGAGATTGTAGCATGCGTTTCGCAACGTTTTTGCAATATAGGACGCGTTTCGCAGCATTCTTACTTACATAAAATGCGTTTTGCCACAGTCGTTTTTTGAAACGATCCGAAACGCTTTTTCAAGATTGCGTTTCGAGGCGTTTCCGAATTAAAATGCTGTCGAACGCACTTTTGTCGACAGGGGACGCGTTCCACAGATACAAATTGGGGGAAACGTAAAACGCGTTTCTTTTTCAAATGTGTGCTGCATTGTTTTTGCTTGGAATGATGCAAAATATATCCATTCTGCATACAGAATCTTGCAAAAATTCACCAACACAAAGCATAGGAGTTAAGCAAAGTAAATTCTTTAAAATTACTTTGGAAATGATATGAAATAGCACTTGAAAGTTTTGCTCCCTGCACTATTTTTGTACGTGAAAATCATGACCCAGAATTTTATGAAGGCAAGACTAAAATCAAAGTCTCGGAAATTTTTAGGCTGCTAGGCTGTTATCTAGACCTAATTCGAAGTTAGACTAATGTAAAACATCAAAGTGTAACAAAAAATATATTCTTCTTACTTAAAAACTCATTTTACCACGTTTTTATTGAAAGAAAACGTGTTTCGTAAGGTTTACTTAAGAATTGTTTTCGACTTGTCCACGGAGGGAGATGATTCCGTCACGCTCGTTTGTAATGAATGAGAAGTTACAGACAAATTTGCAGTGTCTCATTTTGACAAGCACAATTTTTTGTCCAAGATTGCAAATGCATTGGATTCTAGAGGTCGAGTCATTTGTATGAAATAAAACAAATAAAGCGTGACGTAATCACGTTTTACGTGGACAGGTCGTTTTAAATATTGAGCATTTCGAAAAGATTTAGTAAAGACCGATACTAATATAATTAGTACAGTAACTCTCTTTGGTTATTTGTGAACAAAAGAATTATCGCGTTATCTATAATTTGAATAAATATTAGTTTGAGTTCATACTCGAACTAATTGATAATAGCTAATGATACTGTGTACAATACTAGTAAACTTGATTTTAGTTTGTACATTGTTGAAGTAAGAGTGACTTTTTAATAAAAGAGATTCGATTTACAAAAGAAAACTCCTTTCATTTATTGATGTAATTGGATAAAACGATGACGGATTTACATTTACAAAAATCTATTAATCAAGAAAATAAATAAAAGATTAAATTTTAAATTTTTTAAAATTTATATATAAGAAATTTAATTTTTTATATATTAAATACAGTGTAAATCGATTAAATTCGTTTCTATTGTGTATCTAAATTTAAATCTGAAAGAGTTTAAATAAAAAATGTATCAAGAAAAGACCACACTTGTAATTGGACATAGGCACCAAAGAAATGATAATTTTTAATTCAGTGGGATGGAAACTGAAAATCTAATTTAGTAAGTTTACGCCCGACTCTAAATGACAGTAGAATAAACACTTATATCATTAGATTATTTTAGTTGAACGGTTTGTATACATATCTTATGATCCTATGTTCTCATGTTCGAATCCGTGTCTTGACTGCATCAAAATTCATGTAAGTTATAGTTCTAAAGGCCTATGAAAAAATGTAAACGAATACATAAATTGTACCTGCAATTCAAGATCTATGAAGTCATTGACGATTTTCAATTTTTTTTCCATCTAGAATTTACGACACCACAGTTTGAGAAACGCTGCGAAATTTTTCACAAAAACAATCGTTACACAGCGTTTGTTTTAGCAGATGTGAAACGCGTCAAACCGGTCAGCATTAACGCGTTTCGCAGCTATGGAAAAATGCGTTTTCAGAACGCGTTTTTTTCGCAGAAATTTACACCATGGGTAGATCGATGAATAAAAACAAGAAAATTCCCATTCTGATCATATTGTTTTTTTGTGATTGATACTGTATTTTGAAAAATAAAAGTGAGATGAATATTTGAAATAGTAAGCAAGAAATCTTTATATAATAGACTTTTAAAAAAGACCACACATTTATTAACTAATTGAACTTTATAGTCTTCTGATTTTCAAGGGCAAACAGTTGATTCAACGTTTTTGAGAACTTTCAATCCTCATAAAATCTGCTCTTCTCTCATCGACTGCTTTCTATCGGAATACGTGCAAATTTTCAATTCGTCATTTTGTTTAATATGGCTTTGTATCACTTCAAACTAAAACACCTACTAAAGATAATCAATGCTATTTAACAACATATTACTCGTTCGTTTATCTTGTTATTTAATAGGACACAACATTACGTATGGATCCATTTTGTACACGTGCACTTTATCGTTTGTTCTTAAAACTATAATCATACCTTGAATTTATATGAACAATAAGTTTACGCTTCATGAGAGTGTGGATGTGCTCTTAAGGAGACTCTCCTCAGAATCGGTTTATTACTTAAAACCGATCGTTTGAGTTGAAACTTTCAGGAAAGAATAGTCCTAGTGTGAAATGCTCTTTGTAAAAATGTCAGGCGAATATATCGTACCAGATCGATTTTCGACTTGTCATTATTACTTCTAGAAGAATCGAAAGAACTTCAAAGTTGTAAGAGATGCAGAACTTGTACTTGTTTCAAATTAAAGCCAGCCTCTGTATGCAACTTTTCATCGGGCAGAACTTTGAAGCTCGTTTCCATTCATTTTCAGTAAGCATTTTAGTGCACATGGCGTTCAAAATACGCATAAAATAGTGACTCCATCGGCAGTAAATCCCAGTTTCCTCAGTCTAGGAATCAAGTATCAAATATCCGTCCGATCAAAAGTTAACTCTTCTTCAGATCTTCAAAAAAACCATCAGTTATACTCTGAGGTGGCTGGGAGTTATTTCAATTTTCCTGTTTGAAAATCGTGTTTTGCAAAAAACGTGAAAGAAGTTTTAGAAATGACTTTTCATTCGAATCTAAGAAGAAAAAATACTAAAAGGTATATTCATTATATGTGTTAGTGTAATTTTTTTAAAGCACATAACAAATGATTCAAAGTACCACTATCGGCCCTATTTAAGTAAATATAATAATGTATTCAATATATGAATAAATAAAAGGCAATTTTCCCTAAACTCAAACAACTTGAAAAAAACATGATGGAGAATCGAGATTAGCTTCGAAAGTCTCTTAAAATTTGGCCCTTTTTTGAAGAGCTATATATTCTGCAAGAGAAAACGCCACTGCATCTTTCTATCGTAAAACTTTAACTTTGAGCTTTTTCCGGAAAATTGAGGTTTTTAAAGAAACCCTTAATTCGCTCACACTCACACCCTGGATAGAACTGACTTATAATTGTTTGATTGGATCTTTGCTTTTCGATGTTATTTTCTTTGCAAATCTAACTTAATGGGTGTTGTTCTGAATGATAGTCATAAATTAATCATAAGTCATATAGAATAATCGTGAGTCCTATAATAGATGACCGCTTTGTGTTCCTTTCTTTGGAGTAGTTGAAAATCGTTTTAGAAATATGTTTCTGTGTTCATTCAATAGCGAGAATTTATTTCTCTACAAAAACAGTCGATTTTTTTTCGAAAATATTTTCTTCGTCAGTGAAAAATTAACAAGTTTCCGACAAGTCCCAAAAGCTATAGTATTTACCTTGAAAGATAGAAAGCTCTGATCACAAAGTTCTGTCTTCAATAGAAAGAGACATATACTATTCAATAGAGCTAATCGAATTGCATTCATCAAGTTAGTTTTCCTTATTTTCGATTAACTTCTGTAAAAAAAGCATCAGAAAACATCATTTGATAGAGCATCCAAAGCTATATTTCACTTCTAGTATTCTTCGGTTGGCTTTGTGAATTGGGTGAATCATAATAGTAAAAAAATAGAATCAGCTGCTAACTTCTCTTATCTGATGATTGTATGTATTGGCGTCATATCTTATATACTACTCATTTATAGAAAAAAACAATAGTTCTTTTTTTTTTGAATTTTATATCTACGAGGATAAACCAGTTGGTTATAATGATTATATCATTCATTATCATGAATGAATATCGAATACAAAATGGACTTTTTTAGTAAAAGTTATGTCAAACAATTGTATAAAGAACACTTTGTTTAGCAACAAAAGTTATTTCTATCATTATCATGAAGAGAATATCATAATATGAAAATATTTGATTGATGTGTATTTTCGAGTTTTTTTTCTTCTAACTAATATAGTGACCATTATAGTTAATAGAACATTATGATCGTCACAATAATAGATACAGATATACTGTCATAAAATATATTTATCATCAAAGCTTCATAAATTATTTTCTATTTTATTAAAATTTTAATGTCATAGAGAGGCTTAAGATTTCTATTAGCATTTGATCTATAAAGATTATTCAATAAATATATTACAAGTAAAAAAAAAAAAGCAGATCTTTGATTATTTTCATCTTACGATTCATTAGAAATATCATAAAAAATATTCTTGACACATCAAGATAATTCGCATTTGATATTAACCACACAGGTGAAACAAAAAACAATAAAAACAAATAAATCCAACTAATGTTCATGAATCGAAATGTCAATTGATGTTTTTGTGCGACAGTCGTTTGTTTTTGTTGTTTTGTGTTTCTATGCTCGTTAACAATGATTGTTTGATTATTTTTATCGATTTTTTTTTAAAAATTATTCACATAATTGTAAAGATTTTATACGATTGATTAAAGTTTGAAAATATTTAATAACAAAACCAAATATTCCATGTGGTTTTAATGGAAATAATGATGATTGTGAACCATATCGCATTTGTAGAACACAATGAACTTTTTTTTTCTCTAAAATTATTTCAATATCATCAAATAAGATTTGACTTAGTAACTTTCATGAATTACAGTTGGGATTGTCTCGATCTATACAGAATGAAAAGTTATTATGCATACTGCTTAATCCTTATTAAGTTAGATTTTCTATAGAATTTAGATTAATTTGTGATTGGTTTTATTTCATATCGATAAACAACCTGTAAAGCATGACAATAGTCACTTAGTTATGTTCGATCGTTTCATTTTTGTCTTTTTTTTGTTCTTCTGCTTTGTACAACTTCATTGCCATTTTCCTTTTGATTTGAATCAATCGAATGAATCGGTAATGAAATGATGCAAAAAACATGTTCCAGAAATCATATCAGATTTGAAAATGGTTATTGAATTTATTTGGTTCATACAAATGAAAGTTACAATTATAGATTGAATATCGATTTTGATTAGATGTTTTATTTTTTGACTTCTCATTCATATTATATTAGTTTATTTCTTTTTGTTTTAATAATATATTTTATATTTGTTGTGATATTGTATGATATTGGGAGTTTTTTTTCTAATGAGGACAATCACTATTGATTACTTTGTAGACAGACTAGTAATTAACATCGAGAAATGAATAAAATCATTCGAAAAAAAAGACTCTAGTCCCAAAAAAATTGAACATATTTTTGGATAAATTACGCCTCATTTATTTTGGCTAATGAAACCAAGTATTGATAAGGTATTTTTCTCATTAACATTTTATATACGTACTGACATAGAAGAGCAACAATATTTTCTTTTGTCACCTATGCATTTGTATATTCGAACAATAGTTGCAGTGCGTACAGTAAAAAAAAAACGTAATCAACGCACATTGCCTCACCATTGATAAAAGAGAAAATACATGCATGAGAACAGGACCGAAACTAAAGGAAAGAAAAGAGATGAAGCACAGAACAGTTGACAAAGACGTCTTTTTCGATTGTATGTTTCATTCGAAATTTTGTGCATGTATAGGATACACTAGACTAAGCAGTGTTTTTTACGAGCCATTGATTAAATGAGTTACGTTTAATGTTTGGTTTTTTCCCAGCCAGTATTTGTTTATCGATTGTAACACATTTCTATTGATCATTGATACTGTATCAAAACATTAGAGTCATAATATAAATGAAGAATCAGTTGTCAGGATAGACTGCAATTGCAATTGATCGAAAACTATCAATGTCTACTGGTACAGCTATTGATAACAATACAAGCATTCAATCAGAATATGATGCTAGTAAACAAGTACTGTCTTGTACTAAAGTTTTCTTCAAACGATTAATTGAACGTAAACCAATGGATAAATTACAAGTTGAAATTGATACACAAAATGTATTGAGACGTGATCTAAATTGGATACAATTATTTGCTATAGGTCTTGGTAATATTATTGGTGAGTGAGATTGATAATAATACATGTGATGACAATTCTCAGTCTTCTTTTCAGGTTTCGGGATATTCGTATTGAGTGGACAAGCTGCTGCAATGTATGCTGGTCCATCAGTCATCATTTCATTTGTTATAACAGGAGTTATTGCTTTATTGGCCTCTTTATCATATTCAGAATTAGCTACAATGATGCCTAGTTCTGGATCAGTTTACACATATACTTATGCAGGTGAGTTACTTATCTTAGAAATATCTTGCTTCTATCAACAAGCTTTTTTTTATTATTTTAGCCTTTGGAGGTATACAATCAAAACTATCGTTATAATTAAAGATTCGTTTTTTTCTTATTCATTCTAGAATATTTAGCATGGTTTATTGGATGGAATTCTGCACTACTATATCTATTCGCTCTTTTGACAGTGTCAGTTGCTTGGAGCCAGCATGTTGTCCTATTTATTGATATCGTTTCTGATTATAATGTAACAAGTATGATTGTCCAAGCACCAGTAGCTTGGCACGAAGACGCTGAACGGTTTTTTGTCACTGGTCAAGCGATTAATTTACCTGCTATTGGGATTATTATTGCAGTTACAATTTTACTTATTATTCGAACTCGTCAAATGGCTATAATCAATCTGATATTAGTTGTGATAAAAGTTATTATACTCTTAATATTTACTTTTGCCTGTTGTAATTATGTCGATCGCAAGAATTATCATTCATTTTTTCCACCAAATAAAGGTATATGATTGTGTTATGAATATATGAAGTAAATGAATGAATATCATTGTGTATTTTAGGTTCATTCAATGAATATGGAGTAACAGGAATGCTGCATGCCTGTACTTATGTTTTCTTTGCTTATGCAGGTTTTGATTCAGTTTCAACAGTTGCTCAAGAAGCGAAGTTACCGGGGAGATCAGTGCCAGCAGCCACTATTGGGTCTACAGTTTTTTCATTACTATTGTATATTGGAATATGTACTGTAATGGTTGGACTTGTTCCATATGAGTCCTTACATTCAGATGCTCCTCTTTCTGTGGCAATGTAAGTCATTGGTAATCTTCTAAAGAATATCAGTGATATGTATTATAATTTTTCTAGAAAAGCTACACCTTATGGTCTTTGGTTATCAATTCTTATGAGTTTAGGTGCTATTGTTAGTCTTACAACTGTAGCATTGACTTCAATGCTCTCACAAACTCGAATATTTTATGCAATGGCACATGATGGTTTGTTACCACCAATCTTTGCTAAAATTCATTCTCAGACAACAACTCCCTGGATTTCTGTATTAATTTGTGGTGACTATTCTTTTAATACAATTTATACGATAAAACTTATCTGCAATGTTTAGGTATATTTTGTGCTGTTTTTTCGGGTATTTTACCAGTAGATATTCTCGGTGAAACAGCTTCAATTGGCGCCCTAATTGCATACATGTTCGTACATATTACAGTTATAGTCGTAAGTTCATATTGTTTCGTTTCTCTATTTTGACATCTGAAATGTCTTTTATAGATGCGATATACACATAGAGATATACAACGAGTATTTCAAGTGCCATTTGGCTCATGGTTGTTTCCGACTATAGGTTCTTTACTTTGTATCCTTCTTATGACAGGCATAAGTAAAGCAACAGGTTTTCGATTCCTTGTATGGACTGCATTAGGACAAATTATTTATTTCGGCTATGGTTTTTGGCATTCTAAACAAAGAAAGTTAATGAAAAGTAACCCTGTTGTAGATACAGTCGAACTTCTACCAACAGAAGCAAATGCTACGGAAAAAATTGCACAAAATAAATTTGAATCGGATTCAGGCAGTGTAAATGACGAACGTGCAGCATCAAAAGAAATTCTTTAGTAATACTTTGAATGGTTTATGATTGACTACATAAATATATTATTGTAATACATGATTTTAAAGTACATAATCTCAACTATCTTTGTGAGCACTATTTACTAGAATTTCTGAATAAAATAATATTATTTTTTGTCATAAATATGTTTGTGGAATAAAAAATTCGATTTGATATATATAATCAATGCAAAGAACTTTTGTTGAAAGTGAACAGAAATGGGCAGCTCCGACTTCGCTCCAGCTCTACCGTTCTGACGAATCGCTTCACTCCTGGAATCGATCTAGCTCCATGGAGAGGGCGCTCCGAAGTCGAAGCTGTCCAGCCCTGAAAGTGAGATGGATTTTTGTTGATTTTCTTGTTATTATTTTAGTAAAACAAAATATATAATCATATTTTTGAAATTAGAATGGATTGTTAAAACTTCAATTTTAGAACTCATAATTATCAGATATCTTTCAACGAAATTCATCGCATTTTTTTTGGTAAGAATGCAATGCAAAAATTGTGGATTGAACAAAAAATGTGAGCTTGGAATATTGTATAATCGAAAAGAGAAACTTGAAAAATTTGATATCTTATTAGAAACATTAGTTTTTCAACCTGAAACATATGAAATAAAAGATGCCATAGATCAATTGCAGTGAATTTTTGCTAGAAGGCAAACTTATATTTCAAAGTTGAATATTCATTTTGTTGTTTTGTATTGTCTATTGAAACGACGAGTAATAAAAATTATTGATGAAAATCTTGATGGAATTTTTTATAAAATAGCTTATGTATCTTTCTCATTCAAACTAAAATCTTATTATTGTCATATAGAGACAAGACAAAAAATTATGATTAAAAAGTGTCAAATTGTATTATGCGAAATAAATACATACCTTGCTTCTAAAGGTAAACAGTCTATAGATCAGAAGCATTGGTCGCTTGAAGATTCGCTATCTGGCATGACAAAAGAAAAGACACATTTTAATGAGAATCGAAATGAGAAAAAAACAACGAAACTTTTTTATGATGTTTTTGAATTAGAGTAACCACAAGATATTTCTTTGTGCAATTCATTCAGTATTGTTTTTCTTTTGTATGTTTCTTGGTATGTAGTGTTTGCTCGAATCAAGTGCACATCTTAATCGCCGATGCTATTCTATTTCTTGCTAAACAAAAGTCATTTAGGTTAAGAAGCTATTGATAAGAATGTTGAATAGAATGGATTAGGTCAATAACATGGATCCACAGGTCATTGATGAAAATCATCGTTACTTTTCGATTTCTCCTGTATCCAAACTAATCTATGACTATTTTGAAATCTACTGTGAAACATTGTACATAAGAAAAATAATTTCTTTTATTCGCTAATACGTTTTGTCCGACGCCACGACAGTTTAGTTTTTATTCAATGATCGCACATTCATCTGTCACTGGATGCACTGCCTCTTTAGTAAATTTCTCGTCTATTGGTCACTAAGATTCATGTGTGTTAATCTGAGTTGAGTGGAAACTCAAATTTCACATAGTCATTTTAACTGATTTTGATATTTTGCACTTCGAATATTAGAAAAATTAAAACTTGAAAATTTGCATAAATCAAAATGATATGTGATGTTTTAAAATTCATCTGCTCACTTGGGGTTAGCAAAGTCGGTCAAGAACAGAAATAGAAGACAAACTTTGAAAATATGCAAGTAAAATAATTTATTTGCTTAATGAAGAAAGCATATTTTTTTGAACGGATGTTTTTGTCAATTTTCTTAGACAAGAAAATAAATTAGTTAGTATAATTTGTTCTCAACAATGGTTGTTTAAGTAGCCTTCTTTTAAGGGAGAGAGAAGCAATTAATTTTGGATTATAACTTGTATTCACTATTTTTATAGGTAATACGACTATTACGGATCAGGCAATTGCTCCCATAGCATTCGCTCCCAATGAACAACGAACAGAACTTCATTGAAAGGTCTGGGTGCGAGTCTTCTCTTTGAACATCCATACTTACATCTACACGTGAATTCTAGTTTTCTCTTATTGTTACTTATTTTTAATTGTATAAAATTTCTATTATTTTTATAATTAATAAGATATTTATTATTCTATCAGTGGTTTCTACATCTTTATTCAATAAGAATTCTGTTAGGAGAGCAAGTGTTGCAGGGGCAACTGTCATGGAAGCCTTTTTTTTATAGTGACTTTCACAAAAAATAATGAAGATCGAATAGTCAAAATGTATGTATGAATTGACAAAAAATGATGAGATTGAAACTTTTTACGAATTTTGACATTGAAACGAGAGAAAAACAAAGAATATATCTTGCAATCATGATTCATACTATATCTTTTTTATACAATATTATACTTTAACATAAGTGTTCTTGTATCGCACGAGAATATACATTAGTGCGTAAATTAGTACAGAAAACGAAAGAATAATTTGCATAGAATGCGTCGTAATCGCAAGTTCTATTCTTGTGATTCTATCACAATATTGATAGCTAATCATTGGTAATGAGAGCATGAATCATAGTCAAAGATACTCGTTTTATTTTTCTTCATCAATGATAGACACCACCAATAGAAAAAGTATTCATGCATCGTCAATATCATCAGAGTGAAACCAGTGCTCTCCCTATCAGACATGTCGAGTGGTTGACCTTGATACTGGTTGAAATATTCTCTCATCGATTACTACCTATATGAATATCAATCGTTTCGAGCCAATTGGTCATACAACATTCATGTTAGCCTCATGCTTCGATCATACTGACATTATGCGAATTCTTTTTCATCAATATGGTATTATGCGACATCTACGAAATCAAAAATGGTCTTACAGCATACGAAATGGTAGATAACTATGAAATTCATCAACTCTTTCATCGTATACTAAATTCACAACAGTTCAATAGTGAGATGATCGCCAATGATCAACATCTATCTACTACTATTACGGGTGAACGAAACCAAATCGATATTCGTATTTTGGAAACGAGTATGCATATTACAAAAATTTTTGCGACATCCCCGATTTTGCAAGCATTCAATTCTAATCTTGTATAAACGAGATAGTCTGCCTAAGCATGCATTGAAAGGTATATTCGTTTCGTGGTTTAATGATGCAGCGAGAAAAGCTAGAACCATATCAATGGGCTTTAACGCACAAGAGAGCATTCTTAGCATCGATAATTTCTGTTCACCCATGGAGTAAAATATTGAAGGAAACGGACTGCGTAACGCGTTT